GAGCACAGGCTCCGGACGCGCAGGCCCAGCGGCCATGGCTCACGGGCCCAGCCGCTCCGCGGCATGTGGGATCTTCCCGGACCGGGGCACGAACCCGTGTCCCCTGCATCGGCAGGCGGACTCTCAACAACTGCGCCACCAGGGAAGCCCCACTTTCTGAGTTTTTATCTTAATAGTATTTGATGTTATATGCTGAATATAAAACCAAGTAACTCTGCTGGAAAGATTAAAATGCTGATTAACAAATATTTTCAGTGGCTCTGACATTTTTGTCTATTTCTTGATTTCTTTTTTTTTTCCTCTACATTTTTGGGCATTACAATTTGAAGAGATTTCTGACGATCAGATCTGTCTACAAGCAGCTGGCAAGGCTGCCTTTCTACGCTAAAACTGAGGAGCTAATTGGCACCATGAAAGTCTTCTGTGGGCGGGCCAACCCAACCACGGGATCTGTGGAGTGGCTGGAGGAGGATGAGCATTATGATTACCACCAGGAGATCGCAAGGTAACAAGGGTTTTTCCACAGTTGGCTGCAGCTGGGTGGGTCCCTTGATCTCAAAGCAGATGCCTTGGAATCCAGTCTGAGTGGGGGAATAGGCTGTCACCCAGTGCTTCTGATCAGGGCAGGTGTTGGTCACCAGCAGGTCTGCTCAGCTAGGTAGGTTTGTGTGGGAGTTAGGCAAAGTTATGCCTGTGTGGAGAGTCAGACATTTTGTGGCAGCTGTACCAGAGTCCCCGAGGATCTGTCTTGTGGACCAAAGAGGACCCAAAGTTCAGTAGTAGTAGTAGTAGTAGTAGTAGACGAGTTTATGAAATTTAATTATTTACTTGTGTCACTGAAATGGTGGCACATTTATCATATAGTTAAATTCTCTTTAATGGAAAAAGTGGGGAAAAAATGAGGTCTTTTTTTTTTCCTTTGGAGGGATGTTTAAAAGTATGTAAGTGAGTTACTGTTGTTTAGCAATCATTAAGTGCATATGACACCGTGCTAAGGCTGTGAATATCACAGTGACACAGATAAGGTTCTCATCCTCAAAGAACATGCAGTTTTGTGGAATAGACAGACATAAAAAATTATGACACCATGAGATAAAAGTCAGTGGAAATGGGCACAAAAGTACGTGGAAGCAGCAAGAACCAACTGGGCTGGGAGGGCAATATTTGAATGATTTCCTGAATCTAAAGAGAGGGATATTGCTTTCTGAGCAGCAGGGATTATGTGCAAACTTCCAGATGAGCTAGTTTGAGGAATGGCTAGCAGGTCAGTGTGGCTGGAGTGTGGTGCAAAATTAGGGCTATAGTGAGAGAGGATGCTGAAAAGGTAGGCAGGGGTCTTGTTGTAATTGGTGGTAGCAAAATGCAGGAAGAGGAACCTGATTGTATAAGTTCTAGTTTAGCCACTTCTTCAGCTACTTGACTTCTTAACGTCAAGTAGCTTGACGTTAGCCAAGCTACTAAACTTCTCTGAGGGTCAATGTAGTAATATATGCCTCATATACAGTATAACAGTATATACCTCAGTATAACAATGTGTATATCTCATCATATAATACCCTTTTCTTAGGATTATTTAATGAGTGAATGAAATACAATGTCTGGTACAGAGTAAGGGCTCAAACACATTACTTTCTTTCTAAATATTTTGGACGTTATTTTCTGAGTGATTGAGGTGTTAAATGGGGAAGAAAAAAGATTAGGTTGCATTTTGGAACATTAACCTGAGAGCATTGTGGAAAGTGGGTTGGAGGGTGTGAAAACCATATGGGCATTTGGGTGGATATTGCAACCCCAAGGCTGAGACAGTGGAGGTGGAGAGTGGAGGAAAAAGCTTTGAGAGAGCTTGAGTTTCATAACTCATTGGATGCAGTGATGGAAGGAGAGAGAGAAAATGAAGTAAGCACCGAGATTTCTGGTTAGAGTGACTAGATGGATGGAACTGTTGTTCCTTGAGAAGAACACAGGAGGAATGGGTGTTGTTGGGGTGATGAAGATTAGGTATCTGGCTTTGGACATCCAGATGGAAATGCCACTGGGCAGATAAATGTGGGTCTGGAGACAGTTTGCAGTTGTTAGAGTTGAAACTGGAAGAGATTGCAGGCTTTCAGAGATTGTGTAGAATGTGAAAGGTAGAGGGCTGGAGAAGGAATCCTGGAAAAACTGATGAGGCAAGACAACCAGGAGGGCATGGCCAGAGAGTAGAGAGGAAGAGAACGTTTCAGGAAGAGGGAGTGTCCAGCAGGGTCAGAGAAATCCTAGATGTTAATGATGTGAGTGAGCTGGTGGTGCTTAGGGAGAGTGATGTCAGTGGAGTCAGGGGAGTGAGTGGGTGGTGAGGCAGGGAAGATGGGGGAGTGAAAATGCCCCTTAAAAGGTGGAGAGGGGCTTCCCTGGTGGCGCAGTGGTTGAGAGTCTGCCTGCCGATGCAGGGGACACGGGTTCGTGCCCCGGTCCAGGAAGATCCCACATGCCGCGGAGCGACTGGGCCCGTGAGCCACAGCTGCTGAGCCTGTGCGTCCAGAGCCTATGCTCCGCAACAGAAGAGGCCACAGCAGGGAGAGGCCCGCGTCCCGCATGTATCCACTCATTATGCTGCTATGGGCCTGATGACATTGATTTCATTGCTGAGTGATATTCCATTGCACGTAAGTGCCACCACTTGTTGATCC